GGTTCTGGACGGCCGCGCGCGGGTTGTTCGTCAGCGGGTCGGGCGCGCGGTAGGGCGGCCGCTCTGGGAGCCGCGTCGCGTAGGTCCGGACGAAGGAGAGAGAGAATGCCAGGTGTGGCCTCGTCGCAGATCTGAGGGCGGCCATGTGGTGGTGGTAGACTGCAGAGGGCTGGTCAGTGACCGCTGGAGAAAGTTGGGGTGGCAGATTATGTCAGCGGGATATTGGCGCCTCGCAGGCCGTTTCGGGAACTTCCCGCCTGCATGTCGCGAGAGAGGACCGAGTCCTGCGCACAGTCGACTTTACCGTCATTTTCGCGTATGTCTCTGGAATTCTATCATACTGTGTCGCTTCGAGATTTTCTGATTTTCTGCCGCCAATGATGTCAGGATGATCGTCTGGGACAGTGGGTAACCCGAGGACACTACGGTACGCATCACGGCGTGCTCCTCGAGTGCTCCTCGTTGGTTAGGTTGTTTCTTTGGCTCCTTTTATTGTCCACGAGGGCCTGGCCCTATGTAGACGGCGAGGTACGGTGCATGAGCTATCGTGATACGTTCAGTGTTGAAATGGAGACATTGGACGCGGCCTGAGATGCAGGGCGCGCGTCGGGGCATAGCTGTGGTACGCTGATGGTTAGGTACTACTCTGTCACTAAGCTTGGCCGTCACTCCGGCACCAGTGATCATTCCCGGCTCCGACTCCACTAGCAGTGTCTTCGAGTCGCGATGTGCCAAGTGGCGGCCGGCCAGCGGCCTCATGGGGCGCTGTCCTTCCGTCTTGTAAGAAGGTACGTATCCATCCTCAAGATGCGCTCTCAGCCGACTGTCCGCGCTGACGGTTGCGTGCAGCGACAGGTTCTGAATCTCCCGCGACGGGCAGACAGAGCACGATGACGCGCTGAGACCTGCATATTTGTCGGCGTGAGACGTGCGCACGCTCAAGAACCCGGCGTGGCTTCGCAGCAGCTGGGGGGTGCTCTATGTTCCACGGCACAGGCGGGGCTCCAAGAGTGCCCAGTGAGTATCGCGCAGCCGAACCCCCGCACGTCTGCATCCCGCCAGTCTCGATCCACCCTCCAGGGAGTAGCCAGAAAGACTCGGCACACAACCCAGTCGCTGACGAGGCGCAGGCAGTAAGACCCCTCGCGGCGGCATTAGAAAGGCCGGCGACGTGCGAGACGCGTTCCCTCGCTAGGGCGACGGGTGGAGCTGCCCGGATTCAGTTCCGCCACCGCTGACGTCGTGCAGCGTGGCCGCACGGGCAGATTGCGGGAATTTTTCGCATGTATGTATATTTCACGGTCAATAGTACGAGGTAGCGAGATATTGACGGGACCGTACGAGATGTGCGTCTGCAGCGGCGGCGGCGGCGGCGGCGGCTGGCAGAGATACGGCGGGGGGCTACAGTGCCTACCGTGCCACACCTCGGTGGGGCCGCTAAAGGACAATGCGCGCGCCGTATTGCGTTCCTGCCAATCGGCCGGCCAGAACTCGATGCTCGCTTCCTGAAAGGTCGCATGATAGTCCTCGAAGTTCGATGTGTGACGCGGTGGAGCCGTGTCCTGTGTCCGTCTCTGACGGCATGCGCCCGCGCCGCCTTGCCAGTGGCGCAGTGCTCGACTGGCCCGTGTCCGATAACCTCCTCTGTGAGGCGACGGCAGGCGCAATGGTCGCCCCCAGCCGGGGGTGCGGCAGGGATGGGGGGGACGAGGAAGGACAGAGAGGGAGCGAGGGCGTGTGGCCCAATGGAGAGGTAACATCGGGTCGTCCACGTCATTGCAAGCCAAGGGATCACCACGGCGTGTCGTGATCAGATGCAGATAATGGCCTCAGCCCAGTGGGATATAAAAACACTGCCGAGCGACGCCTGGCGCCCGCATCTGCTCTGCTGCTGGACGCTCCTTTCACCGCGACTCGCCCGGCCACCAGGCCTGCCTCTGCTCAGCTCAGCTCAGCTCCGCTCCGCTCCCTGCCCCGCCCTGCTCTGCTCCGCCCTCGACATGCCAGACCAGGAACACCACACGAGGGACGCGTTGTCGCACTATGCGCGGGAGATGTTCAAGTATACGTTTGAAAAGTGGGACCAGCTGAAGAAACGGCTGGAGGCGCGGGCCGCGGGCCCCACCGATGAGGACGATGGGAAGAGATCGTAGAGAGAGAGAGAGAGAGATCCCGCACACGCGAGAGTTGGACCACATCTGTGAGGACTGCAATTCTCGCTGGCGCCGATTTCTTATGTCTCGACGTGCGCGTTAGCGGCCCACCAGGACGGCGGGCTGTCGGCCTCCCTTGCGACATATCCGCTGTTGTCGAGCGCGTGTCGTGCGCTGTGACGCTCTCGTACGTCGTCTCTTCCCATCTTGCGTGTTCTTTTCGGTGACGTAAGGGTGTCGTCAATGCAGTTAGACCCTTGTATCTGTATGATCTCATCGGCCTCGGACCTGGCAATGAAATGTGTGCAAGTGATCAGTCCATTAAAGATTTGTCCGGTCAGGTCACGGCGCCCGTCATGTGTTTCCATCCGTTCTTATTTAGTTTCTACCCTACACATATTCCGAGTCTGCGTTGCGAGTCGTTTGCGATCCACGCCCCGCGTGTGGGTTATGCCCCCGGCCGATCAGGCCCAGGATAGGCGTCAGCCTGCAGCGTTGATTGCACTCCCTCTCCCTCTCTGAATATGTCATTCTATTTACACCCTGCCCAGCCATCGACGTCCACCACTCCGCCAATGGCACATCCACGGCTGCAGTTGTACGAGCCTCGACCCCGCCCCGTGCTTCTCGACCTCCAGGACCCGCACGAGGGCTCCGCGGGCCTACAGAACCGACATGCCCGCCTGCGTCCGTCCGCAGTGAGCACCGCGCGCGCACACAACCAACCGAGCGCGCACCCACCTGGACGTGCGGCCACTCGCCCAGCGCGGCGATCCCGCAGAACGCGTGGCTGCTCACCCTAAGTCGCGACGAGACGCGCGCGCGAGCGTGAGCGCCCGCCGCACGCGGAGACGTCAAGCGGCCCAACGCGTTCATGTCTGCGAGGCTGTGCGCGCCCCGCGCCCGCCAGGCGCATGTCGAGCACGCCGTACAGCCGCTCTGTCTCGTCCACGCTGCCGCGGGGGCGCGGTGGGGAGAGAAGGGAGCAGGGGAGGAAGGGAGCAGGGGAGAAAGAGGTCGCCGAGGCGGGGCGGTCAGCATCATCCGGTACTGCCCGGCTATACTTGCTCGTGAACGCTGTTACGAGTCCTGGCTGTGAGATGCACTTGTCGAGCGTGGCGCGTGGAGACCCGGGCCAGGAACGTCCGAGTGGTGGCGGGTGAACTGAAGACGGTTGCCGCACGCCATTATCAAGCTGCTGTACTAGTACCTCGACTACATTATATTATATTGGGCAAGCCCGGCTTCGTCACCGAGGCGTCATTGCGCATAGCCGCTCGCATGGGCGTCTCATCAAAGTGCCCGTACTGGGGCACTACATAACTAACAGGCCGGGGGCGGGCGATCCGACGTCGACGAGAAAAATGCCGTCTATTCGTGAAAGTCGAAAGAGCTCATGGACAGTGGATGGATGATGCGTACTGGTACAGTGTTGTGCGATACACAGCAGGGGATGGAAAGCAGACAGACGGCGCGGCAAGCACGACGGCGGCGAGGCCACACCGGCGCCAGACCGGGCGCGCAGTGTGCCCCGTGCACGCCGCCCGCGCTCGTCGCGGCCGACACGAAACAGACAGACAGCGTATACGGCCAGCTCGAACGAGAGAAAGGAAGAAAAAGGAAGCAAGAGGAGGAAAACACAGGACAAAGGAGGACACCGACGACGGCGCAGACAAGAAACTCGCTATAGTAGTACACACCTGCCTCCAGCAGCAAAAGCCCAAGACCGAGTCCAACACGGCTCATCGCGCAAAGAACAACAGCAACACCACCCCCGCATTTCCGAGCGTCCCCGCCCGCAGACAGCACACCGCGCACGCCGGTCACCCGTCGTCCGCAGGCGACCGCGCGGGGTGGCCCTCCGACGGAGACGCGTGCACGGGATCCCGCCTCGCCGCGAGCCCCGCCTCGGCGCGCCCCTCGCTC